CACTGAATGAAGACTGGCCTGAGTGAGCACTATAAGAACCATGGCTAGCTGATGCACCACGATAAGCTGGACGACTCGTCTGAGCGTGTCTGTAAGAACGACCCCTACCTAGGCGCAACTGACCCCCTGAAGGAACACCGTTGTAATCACCCGGACCACGAGGCCTCTTAGCCCCTCTCTCTCTCCACGTTCCTAGCTACGAACCATCTCTATCTGCCGAGCAATGTCCACTACCTCATCAAAAGTAGCACCAGATACTCTCTCCCTAGTCATAAGTAATCGTAGCTGATATGTGAGGCCATCAATGAACCTCCTAATCCTCTCCCTATCAGTGGGAACCAACCAGACTGCATGACGAGCCAACTCAGAAAATCTAATCTCGTACAGCGTCACGGACATATCACCCTGGCGAAACTGCTCAAACTGTCTGCGCAGCTCTTCTCTGCGGGACTGAGGTACGAACTTCTCCAAAAAGACCACGGAGAACTGATGCCAAGTAAGGGGTGCTGCGCCAACAGGCCTACATCTCTCGCAAGTCTCCCACCATCTGAGTGCAGACCCAGAAAACTGAAAAGTAGTGAATGAGACCCCACTAGTCTCCAGAATACCCACTGTCTGAAGCATCCGTTGACACCTATCTAGAAAATCCTGAGCATCCTCTGACTCGGTACCGCTAAATGGTGGAGGTCGAAGCCTCTCAAATCTCTCAAGCCTCCTCTGCTCATCATCTGCCATAACAGGAACTACCGGGGCCTAAGCAGCTACAGCCGGCTGGGCTGGTAGCGCTCCCGGTATCTGAAGTCCCTATCCTACCTGGTCAGGAGTACGGGTAACAGGGGTGTGAGTACCTCCCCCAGCCTGAGAAGTGGCAGGTGCGGCCTGAGCCAAAACCACCTGAGCAAGACCAGTGCAAGCTGCCAATATCTGGGCCAAAGTCTCATGAATGCCTGCAATCTCAATGGGCACAGCTGGTGCCTGAGCTGATCCTGTCAGCTCAACTATATTTGGAATCTGCTCCGGAGCTGGAATAACTGGCGGTACTACAGGTGCTGTTCCAACTGTGGTACGAGCTACACCTCGACCTCTACCTCGGCTCCGGCCTCTACCACGGCCCCGGCCTCTCGCAGCCCTAAATGGTGGCACTGGTGGCTGACCGTTCGATCCGGTAGTACATGTCCTCACCATCTGTGAGAGAATAGAATAGCAGAAATTTAGTTTCCAGAATCAACAAATTCGCACGACAAAATACAAGAAAGTAAAATTTTCCTAAGGGTTCTGCAGCCTCTCGAAGATAAGTACAGAGGTCTCCGTACCGATCCGCAAGACTCTACTAAACCTGCTCATGACTCGTGAGACCTATGTAACCTAGGCTCTGATACCAACTTGTCACGACCCAAAATCTCACTCGTCGTGATGGCGCCTATCTCAATACTAGGCAAGCCAAAAATCTCAATAAACCACAATTTCTCTCAAGATTGAAAATATAATATTTAAATACAATAAAAATACTCCCCAAAACCTGGTGTCACTGAGTACATGAGCATCTAATATGAATACAAGCCTGGAAAATATAGTCTGTAATAGTCTTAGACCAAATACGGTAAACAAAGAGATAGAGAGGGAGAGACAAGGTCTGCGGAACACGACAGCTACCTCAAAATCTCCTGAAAATCAACCGCGCGAAAGAATCAACACCCGCTATGTCCAAGAATACCTGGATCTGCACACGAAGCGTAGGGTGTAGTATGAGTACAACCAACTCAGCAAGTAACAATAATAAATAAGGAACTGAAAATAGTAACGAGCTACACAGTTATGGTTCATTTCGAGTAATTCCAGCCAAGAATAGACATGCTATCAAATCTGGCAGATTAATGTCAAATCAATTTTTATACAGTTCCTGTTTATGTAATCCGTATATCAACAATCTTTCAGAGATTTTTCAATAATGACAGATAGCAACTAAGTGCAACAACAAATGAAAATCAAGTACAACCTCTTAGGACAACAATCACTCACTGTGCTCTCAGCCCTCATCACTCCCTGGGCTCCCAGCCCTCATCACTCTCTCATGGGTACCCGCGCTCACTGGGGGTGTACAGACTCCAGAGGGGCTCTTACAGCCCAAGCGTTATAATCTGCATGGACAACTCACGTGCCATAATATAAATATCTGGATCCGCACGGTCAACTAGCGTGCTATAGTATAATATAAGGATCCGCACGACCAACTCACATGTTGCACGACCAACTCACGTGCTATAGTATAATATAAGGATCCGTACGGCCAACTCACGTGCTGCACGGACAACTCACGTGCCATAGTATCAATATCTCACAATCAGGCCCTCGGCCTCACTCAGTCATAAATCTCTCCAGTCTCTCGGGCTCTCAATAATCATGAAATCAGCCCAAACAATAATGATATGATGTATCAATAATAATAACAGAGACTGAGATAAAATGTACAAGTAAAAACTGAGACTGAGCAAATATAGCATTTAGCAGGCAATTCAACAAGTACACGACCTCTGTGTGTCCCAACAGTACTATCACTAAGCCTAAGCATGATTTCTAACATGATTTACAGTCAAATTTTATCAACACATAGAGAGCATATAGCTAACAACAAATTATTCAACTTTATGATTTTCCGGGACAGACCAAGTCACAATCCCCTCGGCGCCCGCCCACACGCCCGTCACCTCCAAAATAATCACATGATACCAAAATCGGGGTTTAATACCCTTAGTACTAGATTTAAAATTGTTACTTACTTCAAGCCGTAAAATTCTTATTCTGAAATGTCCTTTCCTCCTGAATTGGTCTCCAAACGCCTCGAATCTGGTCATAAATAATTCGTTTCAGTCAATAAAATTCATTGGAATTAATTCCATAAGAAAATAATGATTTTCCATAAAAATCCGAAAATTAACTCAAAAATCGCCAGTGGGGCCCACGTCTCGGAACCCGACAAAAGTTACAAAATCCAAAAGTTTATTCCACCACGAGTCTAACCATACTAATTTTACCAAAATCCGACATCAACTCGACCTCCAAATCATCAAATCTTATTTCAAATCCCAAAGTTCAAAACCCCCGATTTACACTTCAAAAACATGTAATCTAGTCGGATTATTCGATGATAATTCAATATTATGGAGTAGAAATGATCACAAGGGACTTACCTCAAGTTTTCCCGTGAAAACCTTGCTCAAAATCGCCCAACCCGAGCTTGAAATGCCCAAAAATAGCAAAAGCTCGGAACCGCTCTGTTTTTGTACTGCCCAGAGGTTTTCGCACCTGCGACAACTTGGCCGCTTCTGCGCCAGCCGCATGTGCGGAAAAAGTCCAGCATTTGCGCGCCTATTTGCGCTCCTGCGCAAGCCGCTTCTGCGCGTGTCCCTCCGCATTTGCGCTCACGCAGGTGCGAAATTTCCCTCGCACTTGCGACCACTGCCCCACAGTCCATTTGCGCATCTGCGCTTACTAGGCTCGCACCTGCGATGGAATTTTCGCAGGTGCGATTGCAGCAGAGGGCAGAAACTTCAGTTATTTCTTCTAAGTCCGAATTTGATCCATTAACCATCCGAAACTCATCCGAGGCTCCCGGGACCGGGACCTCAACCAAATGTACCAACAAGTCCTAAAACATCATACGAGCTTAGTCGAGCCTTCAAATCGCATCCAATAACACTAAAACACGAATCACACATAGATTCAAGCCTAATGAATTTTGAAATTTTCAATTTTTACAAACGACTTCGGAACCTATCAAATCACGTTCGATTGACCTCAAATTTTGCACACAAGTCATAAATGACATAACGGAGGTATTCCAATTTTCAGAATCGAATTTCGACCCCGATATCAAAAAGTCAACCCCCCGGTCAAACTTTTCAAAAATTTAACTTTCGGCATTTCAAGCCTAATTCCACTATTGACCTCCAAATAATATTTCGGACACGCTCCTAAGCCCAAAATCACCATACAGAGCTATTGGAATCATCAAAATTCAAATCCGAGGTCGTTTACACATATGTCCATATCCGATCCATTTTTCTAACTTAAATTTTCAATTATGAGACTAAGTATCTTATTTCATTCCGAATTCCTTCTGGACCCGAACCAACTAACCTGATAAGTCATAAATCAATTGCAAGATTTGAGCAGTAAATGGGAGAACGGAGTTATTATATTCAAAACGATCGGCCGGGTCGTTACATATAGTTATTATGTTTTTTCGTTTAATTGATTTGTCTATATAAATAAAAAAGATGAATAACCCGAACCGACGTCCGAGTTGATTAAATCGATTGACTTGGCACCCGAAACCTCCAATTCCTAGATTCGCCTCTGCATGCACCCCACCAAAAACCTAGTACAAAGTCGAGTACACACTCTTTTAACATAGTCCTACTAATTTATAATCTATTTCTTTCCATCCATCAACAAGTTCCCCATATTCCGGCCCTACATGATGACTCAAACTAGTTTAGATTAAAAAAAGGTGATTCAGAAAAGAAGTTTGCTAGCTTTAAGACAATGACCCGCACCACTCAAAACATCAATTATACCAATATCTCTAACTTGACCGATTTGTTCACTTACCACTTTTGTAGTTTGTACAAACAAAAATCTCTAGTTCAGTGCAATGTACCAACCATACCATACAGTAATCAACAAAAATTATCGCCTCGATCCCAACTAGGTGTCTGAATAAGTGAATCCTCTAAGTCATTGCGATACTCAATAATTTGAGTTTTAAGACAAATTAAGGGTGAACTATAAATTCTCTGAGTCTCACACGTATTCATACATTCTGTGCACGACAAAGTGAAAATAAAGGGAGAAAATAAACCCTACCTCTGGTCAACGGCTTCGGACTGTACAGTCTTTTCAATTTCGTCAGAGGTAGAATCAGCAGAAGGCAACTGATTCCTTCTGAGCCACTGCCGTGTTTGCTGGTTCTGAAAATGCTGAGGGTTAGTATTTGGATGCATACTCCCGCTGCCGCCACCTCCACGTCCCATTCCAGGCGGTTGAAATCTTGCTCTCGGATTCATCACTAATTAGGTATCTCCAAAAACTAATGAAATTATCCAATTGAAACACGCAACAATTATGCACAAAAATGTCCCTAGCTTAATTTCTGATTGTAGCTCCGTGACAAAAGTACGATCTCCGGCAACCTACGGCGATTATATGTGCGTTCTCCGGTGAGAGAAGTATTACGAAAATTCCGCTAAAAATTCGAAGTAGAAGAAAATGGAAAAAATGATTAAGGACAAGTGGGTCTAGTAGAGCATGTTTAAAAACTTAAAATTACGGCGGAATCGATGTATTTATAGCTTTTTTGTGAAACTGGCTTATCTCTGCGTTTTGGCATTAAGCAATAGGGCTCTTAATTTAAATTTAGCGGAGATTTCATTGTTAGGGACAACTGGTGTTAGAACCCGCATGCGGATAATTTGATAAAATATTAATCTTATAAATTATAATTTAATATATTATATTATTTTAATAAATATTAGTTATTATTTTATTATTTAATATAGTATATAGAAATATAAGAAAATCTATATAAAATCAAAGGATACATATTAAATGCTAATCAAATAAATTATTTGTTCCTTATTTATTCTTTATTGTTATTAAATTAGCAAGTACTTAGTACTATACATTTACTAATATAATTTTTATTAACTTGTCAATTGGCTTAATATTTGATACTCTCTTTTAATATAATACCAGTCTCTATATTCGTGCGATGCACGAATATTTTATGTCAAATATTATCAAACACGTTTCAAAAGTAATGTAAAAATCAATAATCAATTTCTTAAAATTTTAATATATAATTCAAACCAACTCATTAATAATATTTTGATATAATCAAAGGACAAATTGAAACTAAAAATTCAGGAATCACAATAAATTAAAGTTGTATGATTTACTTTAATTTAGTGAAGCCTCAATGATCCGAGTACATAAAAGTCATATTTGTTTAGATTAAAATACATCAATAACGAAGAAAATAAACATAAAAAGTCATCTAATCATTATTCTAATCTCTAGATTCAACTAGAATTCTGTTAATTCAACACCAATCCTATGTCTCTTCCACGAGTATGCTTGTTCATGCATGAAATAGTTCATTGTGTCCAAATATCGATCATCACTTGTATACATATATGTGTTCTTTTTCTTTTTCCTTAAAATAATTGACGTGGTTGTTCATTACTTGGAGTGTATTCTAGCATTTTATTTACTTGTAATATATTTTATTATATCTTTTATTAGTGTTTGTTCAAGATCTTAATGGATAAAGTTTTAAATATTACGATTCACCAAACATAAAACTATCTTGTTGAAGAGATATATAATTTAGCTTTTGAAGAGCATAAAATTCAGCCTACACAACATATGATTGTCTTGACGGTTGAATGCTACTTTATTTAATTTTTTACTCAGTATTTGATACTCGTTTTCGGTCCGAAATAATTCATATGTGCTTAGGAATGTCCCACTTTAAGGTTTAAAACTCCTTATCAAAGATAGTTTCATTTCGAAATGTCAAATATGAGATCTCTAGTTAATGATGAAGAGAACATGCCATCCTAACTTCTGATGGTGGTTCAGTGTTACTCTATTTGAGTGTCCAAAGTATTTTTGTAGTTTGAAAAACTAATTCGAAATCAAGTGAATCCCTAACAGATTAAATGAATTAAAGAAACTGGACGGAAGGGACTTGCCTGTGTCTATGAATCTTGCACCTTGCATGTAACGTTTTTGGAAAATTTTATATCTTAGTAGTAGGGTAGTCAGTTGTTTACCCGAAAAATGAATAGAGTTGAATTTATACATAGTTCTAAGAATACGTAGTATAAATTAAAAAAATAAGTAGAAATATATCGAATATTGACTTGTAAAAAAGGAATGAATACAAACCCAATTTGAGTAAAGAATTATTGATAAATGAACAAGATGAATCAATATCTGAGGCCCAAAAAGGATAAGATTTGCTATATGTGTGTTAATCTCAATAATATGTGAATGTGAGAGTGTATAAATGTATGAATGAATACCCCTTTAACAAATGATAGCCATTCTTAATATAGTGGAGGAATCCTACTTTGGATATAATTAAAAATACACAGTGGAGATCCCATGATAGATTAGTTAATTAGCTTTTCCTTGATTTCCGCCGAGATTCTCTTCCCTAGTGCGGCTACAACTGCTCTTTGTCTCTTGGCTCGATTTCGATCTTGGTTGGTCTCGGTATTGATCGGTATCTGGATCTCGAGTTTGATATTGACTCGAGCTCGATCGGTCTCTGGGACTCGAGCTTGATATTGACTCGAGCTCGATATTGATTCGAGCTCGATATTAATCGGTCTCTAGGTCTCGATCTCGATATTGACTCGAATTCGGCATTAATCAGTCCCTGGATTTTGAGCTCGATAACCCAACTTCACATCACAGCTCGATATTATAATGACGACATCGGTCCATCATGCTCCAATCTTGACTAATTACACGAAGGGCAAACTCGGTTTTGACCGTGTACAGATAGTCCTCTCGTTTCTCGGAAAGAAGGTGGCGAGAAACGATATGATTTTTCAATCTTTGACTAAACACATACTGACGTCTGCGTCGAGCCCAATTGTAACATATGTGATAAATGTCCCGTCGGTCCAGTTACCAAGGCATTAAATGCGCGTTAGTCAATGGTCGGCCACTGCCAATTTTGAACCGTCACTGTGAAATCTATAAATAGCCCCCTTCTTCATCATTTCAAACTTTTACCTTCAAATCTCTTTTTATTCCAATCTTCACAGTTCTTCGTCTTCCCCAAAGCTCTCTATTTCCAGGTTTTGGAATTTCTTTGCTTACTCTTCTCAAAACACCAAATACTTCACTCTCCCTTTTTCTTTGTTCATAAAAATTTAGATGGCAAAAATATCTAAATCTGTTTTGCAGAAAGAGGCTGCTTCCTCATCTCGACCGGTCGGTGAGAAAACAGTGATGGAGCCACGCCTTGAAGAACTTGTTCTCGGGGGGTACGTTATTGATTCCGATTTTAAGGTCGAGAAACCCTCATCGGTTGTTGGTCGATGCGAGCCGGTATCAAGATATATATGCTCGATACCAAAAAGTCTTCTTGACCTGGTGAAAAAAGATTGTAATTGGGAATATAAAGAGGCCGTGATACCGGCACCGGAGGAAGCGATCACTACCCACGTGGAAGAGTACCTGAGTGTTTACACTTATCCTTTCACGCTGGGTCCCCTTGATTCAGTCATCGTCGATTTTTGCAAGAAGTACCAGGTGACCCTCGGTAAAATTCACCCTTCTTTCTGGAGGATTGTGATACTGCTTCGTTTCTTTGTGAGCAAAATCAACGGGCTTCCCTTTACCCTCGACCACCTCATAAGATTATATAGCCCTCGTCTTTACCGAGGTGGGCTGATAAAGCTTCAACGCCAGGCCACCAAGGCGTTCACCTCGAGCGTAGATAAAGACAAATATCGAGGTTGGATGAGTCGGTTCGTTCGAGTGAAGACCTCGGACTAATCCCGGCTGAGAGTATGCCATTTCCCGAGAAATAGAATATGAACCGTAAATGTGATTCCATTTTTAGTTTTTGTTGTTCTTACTTCATCCTTCCTTATCAGTGTTTTTCTTGACGCATCCGTTGCTTGGATGTCGGGTGCGGTTCCCCATCTCGAGAACTGGTTCAGGAGCCTAGCTTCAACGTCAACATACGCCGAGCGCGCATGGCGCGATTTGTCAAAGGGCCAGTGAGAGGCTCGTACTCATGGTAAACCTTCCTCTTGGCTCACCGATTTGCTTACCGTTCAAGCATTTTTCCAGACATAAGTTTTACTTACTTTTCTTTCTTTGTAAGTCTCGGAAAAGATGTGATTATGAGACCCCCATTAGGTGATGAAGAAGCTTTACCGCCTATCGCAAAACCGGAGAAGGTGAATAAGAGAAAAAAGGCCTCGGACTCCGAGGGTCAAAAACCCAAGAAGAGAGCGACTCGTAAACCCAAGGTGAACACAATTCCTTTGACTATGGAGTCGGTCCGAGTCTGAGGGATGAAGAAGAAGAAGAAGAAGAAGAAAGTGATTCCGGGCTGGTGACCCGTGCACGGGCTAGCACCGATACTCAAAATACTTCGGTATCGGTGGGAGTTGATACTGCTCTGTCCAGGCTTGATGAGGTCGAGGAGGAGACTTTGACCCAAGTTCTCGAGCCGAGGGGGACCGAGNCAAGACGGAGGCGGCGCCCAAAGAGACTTACTCGGGGCAATAAAGATCAAGGATTCCCCCTCTTTCCCTTCAGTTTCCCAGTCGATGATACGTGGCGCTCAAGCTATGGAGACTTGTCACGAGGAGGGAGCCCACGGAGAGGAGAATCCTTTCTGTGGTTATTTTATCGGGGTAGAAGGTGTCACAGGTCCGAGTGACTTGGAGGCTACGAAGAAGAGCTCGAGCGAGGTGGGAGTGCCTTGCCTTTTCAACAAAGCCCAACAAGCCCTAAATCGGGTAAGTTCATACTTTCTTTGCCAATTTTCATACTTGTGTTTTTTCTTTCCTTGTATAATTCCTTTTTTCTATTCTTGTAGGCTTCTGCGCTTTATCATGAAGCGTTCCTCCGATCCTGAGGGGAGCTAAGCCGGTATGAAGCCGAAATCTGAAGTCTCACCGAGGATAGAGATGCTTTCAAGCTTCTCAGTGAGTAGAGAGACGGAGGGGCAAAGGGACTTCGGGCTGAGCTAGAAGCAGCTCGGAAAGAGCAAGCTGATTTGTCCGAGCAGGTAACAAGAATCTTTGAAGTTAATGACACTACATCGGGCGTGATGGCTAACAGTTCAGTTCCACAGGTCCAGCAAAAGTCTGACGTGATCAGGCAAATTCGTGTTGAAGTGGACGCAGTGAGGGCGGAGGCCGAAGAGTGGAAAAAGAACATGGATCGCCTTGCCTCAGAAAAGGAGGTCGCCTGGGCTCAACTGGCGTCAGCTGAGACCTAACTCCGAAGTTTAAAAGAGAAAACCTTGGTGCAGGCCAATAAAATTGAGGAGTTCCAGTCTCGATTGGTCTCAGCAATTTCTCATCGGGAGAGACTGGCCACAGAACTTACAGCGGCCAAATCGAAGGTCGAGATAGCCACTGCTAATGCTGATGCAATGGTGGCCGTCTACCAGTCCGATGCTGAAGCTGCTCAGGTTCGAGCAAAAGAGGTTGCCAAGGCTGCTCAGGCTCGAGCAAACTGGTTGTCGAGCATGCTAAATGCCAGTCTCGGAGGGAGACTCTAGAGGAGATCCACGCTCGTGGCTTCGATCTTATGGCCGAGA